ACCACTGGCTCCCCGATTTGTTTTTATACTGCGGACACTGACCATGCAGACCCATTCTCTTACATGTAGGCTTACTAGCTTTCTCCTGCTAGATTTGGAGCCACTAGAATTTTGGCATATTAATACATCACCAACACTGGCTTGTGAGCCGTACCTATATGGCACTGACAGTGAAAGGCTTAAAGTGCAGGCGTTGTTCTTCCCATTTCCAGGACTCAAGTCCGGTTAACTGGTTTCCCTGAATCCCTTCACAGAATATTACCCTGATAACACTCCATCAGCTCATCAGGTCCCAAAACCATTCATCTCCATTCACTCCTATCTAACACGCTCACACACGCTTGCTGGAAATCCAAGCCCCTTGCCCACATAACCTCCTTTACCCCTTCCCTCCAACCTTTTTGGGGATGACCCCAACCTCACCTTCCTTCCCCTACAGATTTATACGCTCTCCAAGTCATTCTACTATGTTCCATTCTCCCTAAATGATCAAACCACCTTAACAGCCCCTCTTCAGCCCTCTGACTAATACTTTTAATAACTCCACACCTCCTCCTAATTTCCACACTGCGAATTCTCTGCTTAATATTTACACCACACACTGCCCTTAGACACAACATCTCCACTGCCTCCAGCCACCTCCTTGCTGCAGCATTTACAACCCATGCTTTACACCCATATAAGAGTATTGGTACCACTAAACTCTCGTACATTCCCTTCTTTGCCTCCATGGATAATTTTTTTGTCTCCACAGATACCTCAACGCACCACTCACCATTTTTCCTTCGTCAGTTCTATGGTTAGCCTCATCCTTCATAAACCCATCTGCTGACAAGTCAACACCCAAATATCAGTAAACATTCACTTCTTCCATACTCCCTTCCTCCAGTGTGATATCCAATTTTTCCCCTCTAATGTGATATCCAATTTTTCTTTATCTAAATCATTTGATATCCTCATCACCTTACTCTTATCTATGTTCTTTTTCAACTTTCTACCTTTACAAACCCTCCTAAACTCGTCCACTAATCTTTGCAACTTTTCTTTAGAATCCCCCAAAAGCACAGTATCAACAGCAAAACGTAACTGTGTCAACTCCCCAAGACCCTAGCATTTACAACCCCATCTGTAAATATGTTAAACAACGATGGTGACATTACACATCCCTGTCTAAGACCTAGTTTTACTGGGAAGTAATCTACTGCTCTCCTACACACCCTAACCTGAGCTTCACTATCCTCATAACTCTTTACAGCATTTAGCAACTTACTACCTATTCCATACATTTGCAACATCTGTCACATTGCTCCCCTATCCACTCTATCATATGCCTTTTCTAAATCCATAAATGCAATGAAAACTTCCCTACCTATATCTGAATACTGTTCACATATATGGTTCAATGTAAACACCAGGTCTACGCATCCCCTACCCATTCTGAAACCTTGTTCATATGCAGTCCTGTTCTCTTTCTTACTTCTAATTCTTTCAATAATAACCCTACCATACACTTTACCTGGTATACTCATTAAACTTATTCCTCTGTAATTTTTACAATCTCCTTTGTCCCCCTTCCCTTTATATAAAAGAATTATACATGCTCTCTGCCAATCTCTAGGTACCTTCCCTTCTTTCTTACATTCATTAAACAAAAATACCAACCACTCCAACACTATAACTCCCCCTGCTTTTAATATTTCTGTCTTGATTCCATCAGTTCCAGCTACTTTACCCCCCTTTCATTTGACATAATGCCTCTCGCACCTTCTGTACACCCATATCCTGCTCTTCTTCACTCCTAAAAGATGTTATATCTCCCAGGCCAGTGCATGAAATTACTGCCTCTCATTCTTCAATGACATTTAATCCTTTCAGGGTTGAGACCCCCGATCTTTAACTCACTCTCAGGGTCGAAAAATATTCGAGAAAAGAAAAAAATTCCTACCAAAATCTTAAGAATATTTTTATAAGTGTTTTTAGAATTTTTTTTTTTTTTTGTGATCAGTACTTACTGAGATATAAAGATGTGAAGTTGACAGAAAGTGAACTGCTTACGGCTACATCGGGGACTGCCGGTCACTTGGTAATGTTGTATATTTTTACTTTTATTCTACTTTTTTCTTTCATTTTTTTAATATTTTATTTTTTTCAAGTAACTTTTATGGCCTGTGAGACCAATATAAGGCATATTGCATATAAATTCGCTTTATGTATGCTACACAATAACCATACAAACATTGTTGTCATTATATTGTTTAAAAAGCATGTTTACACAAACCAACAATAAAAAATGTTGTTATTACTATTTTTCTATAATATATATACATACACATATAGAGTTACTGGACATGTTCCTAGAAGTGCTGCAGCTTGTGGAACTCTTTGAAACATGGTGTCATGCATTGTGGTGTTTTACTCTCCTCACACATAAAACGAGTGTCTGCATTATTGTGGGCATTTTTTTGTATGTGCACAGTCAAAACACTTCTTCTGAGCAAATTTCTTCTTAGTAGGAGGCAGTTGTGTTAGGTAGTAATCACCAGGCCTCAGACGAGAGGGTAGTTGGTGATCAGTTCGTAGGCAGTTTTCTATTGCAGGTGTTGTTACTTGGAACTTGAATAATATTTGTCTGATGACAAACAAAATTTGCCATGTGGTGGTTTGTTTCTGGTCCTCAAGCATTGAGCATGGAAATGTCCACAAGATGGAAAAAGAGTTTTATGTACCACTTATAACTCTTGCAAACATAGCAAACCTAATCTGCATGTCACATTTGTCCACTGAATGCATGTTGAGGGTGTAGTCCATCACAGCTGAAGGTTTTAGAATGTATTCATTGGCCTCTCTATTCTGCCTGCCACTGTCTGTTATTTCGTTTTGGTGAGCTGATGTCAACAGTGTAACATCTCATTTGTCATGCCACCGAAATGCCATGATGTCATTGGCAGCAAACGCCTGCACCTCCCCTCTATGAGCACCTGCGTCAAACCTAGGCATATGCTTATGATTTGCATGCACTGTACTGCACACATCTGTCGTGTTCACTCACAAAAAATCACTGAGTAAGGGGCTTGTGTACCAGTTATCAGTATATAATGTATGCCCCTTGCCAAGATATGGTTCCATCATTCTTCTAACTACATCACCAGAGATACCCAATAACTTCCTGGTATCTTGCAATGTATTACTTCCAGTGTACACAATAATATCCACTACAAGTCCACCGTAGCAATCACAAAGTACAAACAGTTTTATATCAAATCATTTCCTCTTCCTTGGTATATACTACTTGAACGACTGTCTACTTTTGAACAAAATCAAAGACTCATCGATAACAAGCTTCTTGAAGGGATAAAAATACATAGCGAATTTCTGTTTCAGATACATAAACACATTCCTAATCTTATATAATCTGTTGTTTCTGTCAGGCCTGGTTTTGTCTGAGAAGTGTAGCATATGTTAGAGTAGCACAAATTGACTCATTGGTATTATATCAGTGAAAGCTGGGGTTGAAATCAGGCAGACTGTTGACCAGTATGATTTGACAGTGTGCTTATACACATGTGGCATAAGCATTATTGTGGCAAATAAAAGATGGTGCAGCTGGTAGTGCTGTTGTTATCATACAGAGTGATGGCTCTCATAAAGAAATTGGAGCATGTATCAATAACTAGGCCTCTACCTTTCAAACAGAACTGTTTACCATACTCCTTGCACTTTAATTGTAACTGATTCCCTGTCATCCATAAGTGCTCTCAACTCATTAAGTATAAATTGTGGCATGCTTGTGTCAGAAGCCAGACACAGGTATGGTAAGATTGTGGACAGTGGAGTCAGAGTGCACATGCTGTGGATTCTATCTCTCATTGGTCTCCAGATGCATGATAGAACTGATGAACTGGCTAAGCTGTATGCTTTCAAAGAGGGAGTAGATTATACTCTTGGGTTGTCAGTTAGCAGTTTGAGAACAATAATATGAAAAGAACTTTGATTGAACTTTATTGACTTAAACAGGAAAGATGAAATTTTGTTCCACTTATCTCACCAATTGTTGTGGGGTTCCTTAAGAGAGATACAGTGCCTGCATGTTATATCTCTGAACATGCAAGACCAAGGTACAGTAAAAGTTGTACTTCTAGGGTCTTGGACAAGTTACCATATAACTATGTATTTTGAGGTTTGACTTAGAATAATTTTGAATGGATTAATATTACAACTCAAGGGACCACTATACTGACAAGTTTATGAGTTGCACTTATGTCTTACTCATCAACCTGTCAGTAGTGTATACCATTTGTGATATGATACTTGTCTGGCACAGCAACCTAATGGTAACTTGGTACACAAAGTGTCTTCAGCATCTCTATTGCTAACAATTGTTTAGCATGATATACTTCCATTAGTGGGCCCAGCTCACCTGTGACCTCATCTTCAAGCTGCTGCACCTCACTTTCCAGTATACATGTACAGTGGTATCTCGGGATACGAACTTTTTTTGTTCCAGAAGGCTGTTCGAGTGCTGATACAGAACAAATTTGTTCCCATAAGAAATAATGTAAATTAGATTTATCCGTTCCAGACCCCCAAAAATACACTTACAAAAGCACTTACATAAATACACTTACATAACTGTTCGCGTTTTGAGCTATTCGTATCCTGAGGTACCACTGTATGAGCTTCTGGCCTCTTGCATTTGCTTTAGACTAAGAGACTGATTATTTTCCTTCAAAGGTGAGGGACTGATTACCTCAAGCTGTCTTTCCGCTTCATCTACTGTAACCAGGATTGTAATTCATCTGTGTACTTGACTGATTAAGCCTATATTGCAGGCCAAACATTACATAAAAAAAGAAGATTCCTAGTGTTGCACATGTCATGTATGCATGGTATTGTATACCATTTATAAAGATTCAGTAATTAAAATAGCTTTATGCACTTTTCTTATATTTTAATTCTTTATTTTTCCAAAGAGGTTATTACAGTAATTGATTTTATTACAGTTGCTGCAGTTCTCCTACTTCACAATAGCATTTCTGAATGACATTGTTGGAACCAGCACAACCATAGTGAAGAATCGCTCATCTTTACAGAAAGTCTGTGATCTGTTTTTCTCAACTGTTGTGTTTGCAGTTGGTTCAGTAAGTGATAAGTAAACGTGAATTTAGTCATTTCTTTTGGCAATTCTCTAGAGAATTGATGTGAAAATGGGAAAGTTTATTTGTAACCAGAGCATTTCAGTAGAGTTATGTTGATAACATGTTTAACACTTTGACTGTTTCAGTCGTATATACGTATATGTCTTATGGGCCGATGTGTTTGACGTATATATACTCAAAAATTCTAGCGGCTTCAAATCAAGCTGGAGACAGCTGGTAGGCCCATATGTGAGAGAATGGGTCTGTGTGGTCAGTGTGCACAGTATAAAAATAATCCTGCAGCACGCAGTGCACAATGAGAAAAAAAAACTCTGACTGTGTTTTTGGATTAAACTGCAGACTTTGAGGTGTATTTTTGTATAGTATTTACGCTGTATTCTCGTTTTCATGGTCTCATTTGATAGAATGGAGAACATATTATAGAAATAGAGTGATTTTGATTGGGTTTACTATGAAAAGGACCTTGAAATAAAGCTCAAAGTAGCTGAAATGTTCGATTTTTGCCGATGTTCAAGAGTAAACAAATGACGTCATTGTTCAATAAATGTCCAGCTAGCTATTCTGATATGCAGTCACGAATGGGTTGACATTATTTATACAATTACTACAATATTGGAGTAGTCTGCATAACAGTAAATCTTCTATTTTTTGTGTGAATAAAAATTCAAAATAGAAAACAAGAGGGGCCCGGAGACATGACTGATGAACAGAGAAAATGTTCTTTTAGTCCTAGGAATGTCTGCATTGTTCATTCTGGACCCCATTTTGAAACTGGCATATTTTTAAATTTTTGTAAAATTGGTCAAATTGCCGATTTCTGACCACTTTATTGGGCAGTTGAAATTGGTAAAAGGGCAATTTCTTTTACTCAATTGATAGAACAAATGGAGTTCTAAAGAAATAGCTATGAGTTTGGTCATTGGAACAATGGAATTGGCTGAAAATAGGGCTCAAAGTGGGTGAAATCACCGATGTGTAAATATCGCCGAGGACGCTAATTTTGCAAGAGTGTAATTTCATAAGTTTTGATCAAATTTCATACTTTTGGTGTTGTTACCATTGGGAAAATATTCTCTATCATTTCATAAGAAAAAATCTTTTTTTTTTTTTTCAAATATTTTTCGACACCAGGAGACACTTCAGGATTTGGGGTTGCGACAGTCAAAGGGTTACTAATAAAAGTGCCATTTATAGATGAAAATATACTCTTAATATTAACTAATAAATTTACAGGTGTAATATGCTTTCATTTTATTCACATGTTAATAATAAGTACAGTAATACACTTGATACAGTAGTTGATTTTATGCCATAAAGATGGGAAACATTCCTTGCATGTTTGATAGAGTAACTTGAATATTCTATATATAAAATTAATATATTGCCAGTGTGTGTGCTGCTCCCTCACTCTTACCTGCATCTTCTGTGTTTTGTTAGAGAGTTGTTAATTGCTCCTCCATTCCTATGTTCTTATGCCCTTAATATACTGCCAAGTAGTGTCATCAAAGCTAGCATTTTTTTTCTTTTTTTTTTTTTTAACTGGCCACCTGCCACTGAGGTAGAGCAACCTAAAAATGGAGAAATGCTTTCACCATCACTCACTCCGTCACTGCAAGATGGTGATAGTGTGAGTGATGGTGAAATCATTTCGTCTTTTCTGGGTCACCCTACCTCAGTGAGAGACAGCTGATGTGTTAAAAAATGGGAGTGAGAAAGATTGGGTTTGAGGAGGACCTACTTAGCATGGGCCAGTAGGACTGCTGCAGCACTTCTTTGTTCTTATTCTTGTGTTTTCATGTTCTTTGATTATGCTTATTATAGTGAAGATTTGCTAAGCTCACATACATTTAAACTTAGCCTATTTTGTTTGACCTTTATAAGTTTCCATTAAATGTTTGAGTTTCTCAGAAATTGTAGTTTTGTCAATTAAATAAGCAGGCAAGCAAATAAATAATAAAACTTTCTGATTAACATCAAGTATTGAAAGTATAGTACAGTGGACCCCCGGTATTCGATGGCATCGGTATTCGATAAATCCGGTATTCGATGCATTATATCGCAAAAAATTTTCCTCGGTATTCGATTGAAAACCCGGTATTCGATACGATTCATACGAGACCTGTCCACGTGTGGTCTGAACTGCCCCATGTGTGCCAGTGTTTACAAGCTAGCCAGTGTGCACTCATCTAAGGATACATTCGGTACATTCCATATTATCCATAATATCACTGTTTGGTGCTTGTTTCTGCAAAATAAGTCACCATGGGCCCCAAGAAAGCTTCTAGTGCCAACCCTTCAAGAAAAAAGTCGCTAATGACTTATGAAATGAAGAAAGAGATAATTGCAAAGTACGAAAGTGGAGTGCGTGTGTCGGAGCTGGTCAGGTTGTATAATAAACCCCAATCAACCATCTCTACTATAGTGACCAGGAAAACGGCAATCAAGGAAGCTGTTCTTGCAAAAGGTGCAACTGTGATTACGAAACAGCGACCGCAAGTGTAAGAAAATGTTGAGTGATTGTTATTGGTGTGGATAAATGAAAAACAGATAGCAGGAGATAGCATCTCTCAAGCGATCATTTGTGAAAAGGCTAGGCAGTTGCATGACGATTTGGTAAAGAAATTGCCTGCAACTAGTGGTGATGTGAGTGAATTTAAGGCCAGCAAAGGTTGGTTTGAAAGATTTAAGAATCGTAGTGGCATACATAGTGTGATTAGGCATGGTGAGGCTGCCAGTTATGTTGTGCGACAGAAGTCCAGTGACTCTCAAGCTGGTCCTAGTGGCATTAAAAGAAGAAGGGAAGTAACCCCGGAAAAGGACTTGCTACCTCAAGTCCTAATGGAAGGGGATTCCCCTTTTAAACACTAACACCTCTCCCCTCCTCCCATCCCATCAGTCATCACCAGATCTTCATTAACCCTTGGACTGTTTCAGGCCCCTCTCTGAAACTGTCATTCTATGTCGCCAAATATTCGAAAAAAAAACAAAATTATTGTTTCTTATGAAAATGTTAGGAATATTTTTCTGAGTGTTTTAAGCCTAAAAACAAATTTTTGCCATCAGTACTTACCGAGATATAGAGCCACAAAGTTTGCAGAAAGTGACGTGCGTACGGCAACAGCGGCGACTGCCGCCCACCCGGTATTCTTTTTTTTACTCTAATTCAAAGGTTTCTTGCATTTTTCAATATTTTTCTGTTCCAGGTAACTTATGTGGCCTGTGAGACCAATGTAAGGTGCATTGTTCAAATATACACTCATTGTTTACAACACAATAACAGAACAAACTTTATCACTATTAGTTTGTGTATACACTTTGTTTACACAAACAAACAATACAAAACAATGTTTATTACTATTGTTCCATAATATATATACATATGTACAGTCACTAAACACGTTCCTAGAACTGCTGCAGCTTGTGGAACTCTTTGAAACATGGGTATATGCAGAGGGGCACTTGACACTCCTCACACATAAAACGAGTGTCTCTGCATGTTTGTGGGCGTTTTGTGGTATGTGTACATACATAACACCTCTTCTGAGCATTTTTCTTGGCAGTAGTAGGAGGCAGTTGCATGGGGTATTGATCACCAGGCCTGAAACGAGATGACGTGTGTTGGTAATTTCGTGGGCGCTGGTCTATTGCAGGTGTTGCTCCTTGGTACTTTGCAATTATTTGTCTGATTACTGACAAGCAAAATTCACCATATTTTGGTGTTTTGTTGGTCTTCAACTTGTATATATTATAAGCATTTAGCATAGAGATATCAACAAGATGGAAAAAAAGTTTTATATACCACTTATAACTCTTGCGTACACAGTCAGCAAACCCAATCTGCATGTCACATTTGTCCACTAAGCACATATTGAGGTTGTAGTCCATGACAGCTGCAGGCTTTAGAATGGGTTCATTGGTCTCTCTGTTGTGCCTGCCACTGTGTACCATTTCGTTTCGGTGAACTGATGTCAATAATGTGACATCACGTTTGTCATGCCACCGAAATGCCATGATGTCATTGGCAGCAAAGGCTTGCACCTCACCTCTGTGAGTGCCAGCATTGAACCTTGGCATATGTTTACGATTACGACGCACTGTGCCACACACGTCTGTCAAGTTCACTCGCAAGAAATCACTGAGTAAGGGGCTTGTGTACCAGTTATCAAATTCAAATTCAAATTCAAATTCAAAGTTTATTCTCTATAAGGATTACAATGCTGAGTTTACAGAATTTGGTTATTATATTGTTTACATGTAGTAAAATAATAATTACAGAGTGTACCACTAGAACACCTAGCATGGCTAGGCATTTCGGGCAGACTTAAATTAAATCTTAAGTTTAAAATATTACAAAATTATGAGATAAGTTTGTATTATGGCTAAGTGACTAAATACTAGTTTGTGAGTTTAGCAATGTGAATGCTTTTGTTTTCGCACTATACATAGTTTCAGTATTGGAGTATCACAGGCCAACTTATGACTAGTTAAGATTCATTATTTTGAGATTGAGATTGATATTTCTGTTTATGGTCAAATGGGTGAGTGAGTGTAAGTGTTAACCACCAGGTGGTATTCGTGTAATTAGTAATCAGTAAATAACATATGCCCCTTACCAAGATATGGTTCCATCATTGTTCGAACCACATCACCAGAGATACCCAATAACTTCATGGTATCTCTCAAAGTATTACTGCCAGTGTACACAATGATATCCAAAACTAGACCACTTCTGCAATCACACAGTACAAATAGCTTTATACCAAAGCGTTTCCTCTTGCTTGGTATATATTGCTTGAATGAGAGTCTTCCTTTGAATAAAATCAAGGACTCATCAATAACAAGCTTCCTGAAGGGATAAAAATGCATGCAGCACTTTTGTTTCAGGTACATAAACACATTTCTTATCTTATATAATCTGTCGCTTCTGTCAGGCTTGGTTTTGTCTGAAAATTGTAACATATGTAACAGTATCAGGAAACGAT